GCACCGGTAACAAGCATGAAAATTACCCAGAACCCCTTCCGTAGAATTTATATCAAGTGCCCAGAGACTAATAGAACTTTGACATGAGCTCCCAATGAATTGGCACCGGTCTTGCCTGCATGAGCAAAGCGCATGCAGATCTCCCTTTGGCATGTATTGATGTGAGCTTGAGGAAGGACAAAGCCAGGCAAGTGCAGGTCCACCCACCTGCCGCGGCCGAGGGTGGGTTGCCAGAGTGATGGCGGCCGCAGCTCAGACGGCTGCGAGGGGTGCTCCGCAGCAAGCGCGCCGGAATGCATCGCCGGCAGTCCGGCTGGCCATCATGACGCCGCTGCCTGATGAGGGTGCGCCCGCTGCATGCCTAGAGAACACAAGTGCTGGTGTCAAGGACTCCTGCCAGAAAGAGCGATGTGCGAGAATGAAGTTGAGGGGAGGGCTGCGGAGCGCATCACAGGAAAATGCATGAGCAGGCCCCACAGGTGTGGCTGCAGACGTCCTGCCTGCGAGCTCTGTGGCATTGATTAAGGATAGCAAGCAGTGGCGCTTGAAACCGGTTGCATGTGGCGGGAGCAGGCCGGCCGGCGCACCTGCCGCTGCAGCAGCTTGCGGCTGCATAGACCCAGATCCTGGACACAAAGGTCCTCACAGCCTGCCACGCCCATGCGCTGCTGCTGCCGTGGGGAGGGAGAAGTCGCCCGGCTGGGGTCCTGGCGCCCCGGCCGGCCCAGCGCGCACGCCGATCCGGCTGGAGGCGAGTCCCACCTGCGATCGGGCAGCCAGGCAGGTCTGAGCACAGCTGCGCGCGGCCAGCGCGAGGAGTCTTCACTGCCAAGGCTAATGCTAATGCATGCTAAGGAGCAGCCAACCATGTAAACCGGTAACAAGCATGAAAATTACCTAGAAGCCCTTCAGTAGAATTTATATCAACTGCCCAAAGACTAACATAATTTTAACTTTTATGGGCTCCCAGTGAAAACGCACTGGTCTTGCATGCATGAGCAAAGCGCATGCAGATCTCCCTGTGGCATGGATTGATGTGAGCTTAAGAAGGGGCAGCCAGGCAAGTGCAGGTCCACCCACCTGCCGCGGCCGAGGGTAGGTTGCCAGAGTGATGGCGGCCGCAGCTCAGACGGCTGCAAGAGGTGCTCCGCAGCAAGCGCGCCGGAATGCATCGCCGGCAGTCCGGCTGGCCGTCATGACGCCGCTGCCTGATGAGGGTGCGCCCGCTGCACATCCAGAACACAACCCCTGGTGTCAAGGACTTCTGTCAGGAAAGGCGGTCTGTGCGAGGAGTTGGGAGGCGGGCTGCGGAGCACATCACAGGAAAATGCCCGATTAGGCCCCACAGATGTGGCTGCAGACGCCCCGCTTGCATGCATGGTGGCATGTGATAATGATAGCAAGCAGTGGCGCTTGAAACTCTGTATGAGGCACGGGTGAGGGACTCTTGCGCTTCAGCCAGCCTGCAGCTACAGCAGTGGGAGCAGGCCGGCCGGCGCACCTGCTGCTGCAGCAGCTCGCGGCTGCGTAGCCCCAGATCCTGGACACAAAGGTCCTCGCAAGCTGTCACGCGCATGCGCTGCTGCTGCCGTGGAGGGATGAGTCCCCTGGCTAAGGTCCTTACGCCCCGGCCGGCCCGCGCGCACGCCGATCCGGCTGCAGGTGAGTCCCACCTGCGATCGGGCAGCCAGGCAGGTCAGCGTGCACGTCTGAGCACAGCTGCGCGCGGCCGGCACGACGAGATTTCCCTGCCAAGGCGCCAACAGTACCCAAGGCGCCAGGCAGGCTGGGACATGTCCCTCAGCAAAAGCCCCGGCTGCAGCTGCCTTGCGACCCCTCAGCAAGACTCTCTGTTGATGAAAGAACGGCTCGAGGCGTGAAGCCCAGAGCATGATGCAGCCTGACCCCTCCCTGAGCAATCCTGCTTTCCAAGCATGGCTAACCCTGCCAGGGAGGCCAGGCATCAGGCAGGTCCAGCCAGGTGCCGCCAGGTGATTGTCAGGGAACGTTCAGAGGACGGTGAGGTGAGCTGCAGGGTCCACACCTGCAGCAAGGCGCGTCCACAGGTGGAGATCTGCTGCCTCGATCTGCTCAGGTGCCAGCCTCTGGCAGGGCTGGCCGCTGTCCGGCGCCGCGTTCCGACGGATCTGCAGCATGCAGAGATGGCTTTGGTGGCAGGAGGAGCGTGAAAGCATGGCGATCAGGGCGCTTTTGGGGTCAGGTCAGGACATCGCGCTGGCCATCCTCGAGCCCAGCAGCCACAGCGAGGGAGGATCGCCACAGCAACCAGTGCATAAATGTTCACAAACATCATACCTGAGATCTGCGGAGGCGAAGGGTGCGCCGGCGAGCTCCTGGGCTCCAAACAGGACAGGTATGCGCATCGCAGGATGTGCAAAGGCCGGCGCCGGGCGACGCACTGGCGTGCCAAAGGCCCGGAAGCAAGAGACAACAGGCTACGCGATGCCCTTGTCAGGGTGCGGCAGTCTGGGAGCCCGCA